CCCCCCCCCCCGACTTCCATGATGGATTTCTTCTTGCTAAAATAAGTCAACAATATAAAAGTGGATTGTAAACAGTTCTTGATAAGCCTTCGGTTTGAAAAGTTCCGCTCACATGAGACCACAGACCTAATAAACAATTGAAGGCTTAGCGATAGTAATGAAAGAGCTTCTAGGAGAGCCCGTTCAGCTCTGAATTTCAAAACATCAAATACTGACTAGTCCATGACTTTGTGAAATTGAATATCAGTTGCCTTTAAATATGTGTCTTCTAAACCTTGGTATTTATTTTAAAAGTTCATTTTATGATAATTCATCATAGAAAGAGGTTACTTTTGGAACGGACACCAATGACTCTTCTTCACTTGCTGATAGTAGACTCTAGAGTTGAACAGCCCCAAACATATCTGCTATTTCCTTGATTGCTGATGATCTGATCTGAGATTCAGAATGAAGGCGATTAATACACTCCAGCATCTCCCTACAGTTTTCTTCTCGCTGAGAGTCCAGGATCAATTAATATTATTCTCCTGCTTTTCTCTTCTTAAACTTTAATCTTTTCCTTCCCCTACCGAAATTCCATATTGGTCTGATTTTAAAATTGCCTTTTCAATAGCATCTACCACCTAGTGACAGCGCTTCTCGTGCAAAAACAATTTTAAGGCCTCTAGGTTGGTCACCACCTTGTCAAGAGTTAAGCCTTTAGCCTGCAGATACTACTGTGTAAGATTAACTTCCTCAAGTAGATCAGCCCAAAGGAAAAGGTAGCAGATAAACAAGAAATCACAGACAGCATGTAAACGACCTGTTGATGTATGACAATCGTGCTCCAATGTTAATTAAGTGGCGGTGGTAGTGATGAATCGGCGAAAATATTTATGGTTTAGTATTTCTAGGATTCGATATTTTTGGTTTCTAAACACTTTAAAAAAAATTAATTAATTAATCAAAGATAATTTTTTTAAATATTATTTTGTTAACCCTATAAATTTGTAAAAATTAATTTTTTAAAATGTTTTTAATTTTTACCGATTCGATTCATCAACTAAGACTCACCTGACCACATCGTTTTTTGATATCATTGGAAAGCTTTATTCTGGTTCTGGTTCTAGTAGTGTTCGTTGCTGCATCCATGTACTGGCATCTTTGCAACGGTTGGGGGTATGATGTTGCTAGTCTAACAGCTCCTAGCTGATGCCAGGGCAGCCTTGAAGCTTTCGACCGATGTCAAGCTCACAGTGGCAACGTCCAGGTGGTTCCATGCTATTATTGTGCGTGGGAAGAAAGATTGCTTATACTGCACTGTGTTGCACCGAGGCACGATGAACCATTTGCTATTGTTTCGGGTGTAATTGTTTATGGGAATGCCAGTCAGTTGTGAAGTCCGTGTTCAGTGAGCGTTTTGCTCTGATCAGTCTACCCGGCTTCTGTGGGGTGAGGTACGTGCCTGCTGGGATGGCCGGCACCAGTCCCAAGATCACTTTTATAAGAATATCAGGCGGAGTCCATCTCGTCTGTCTTTAAAGGGGGGGGGGGGGGGGTATCAAATCTTTTTAAGAGGCCAGTGACGAAGCCAGAAGTGGTGGATTTGTAGTCTGGAGCGATAAAACGCTTTGCGTTACTTTGAATGTCTCAGAATTTAGCTAAATATAGCTCCCTGTCACTCACGGGGTTTACCAAACGCTTCAATCGGCGTGAATCATTGTAAAAATCGTGTTTCCTGATCTAACTATAGGGCTACGCATCAACCTTGAACATAAAGCACACATTTGGACTGATCACGTGAGTCAAAAATTGACGTGTGATTGGTTATGCTTATATGCAGTATGCTGGAAACACTGGGCTGGTCTACATTGGAAGAACGACGACGACTATCCAGGCTCGCCATGTTGTACAAGATAAAAAATGAGCTGGTCCACTGCTCCGGAATCAAACAGAAACTCGTTCATCTTCCCCCTAGACTGCGACGAAGCCACGACAGACAGTTCCGGCTGGTAAAAACAAGAAAAAAGTACAGGAGCTCCTCATTCCTGCCGAAGACAATAGGGGACTGGAACAAGCTTCCAAAAGCAACAGTTGAGGCGCCTACACTCGATACATTTGTGTCTATTGCCTCCTGTATTCCAACCCCCAGTTCGTAACACCACTGCTGAATCACCCTTGCAACCAGTGAAGCATCCCATTGGAAACCCATGCACAGTAACATCGCAAACCCCTCTGAAACATAGGAGCCAGAATGATCAATTCATTGATCGTGGGCCCTCAAAATAAAGAAGAGAAGAAGAAGATATGAAATTCGGTTCGACCGAACAGTGTGTGCTGTGTAAATATGCAATTTTTCAGTGTCGGCTGCGACTATTCGTACCCGGATACCAGAAGTGAGATGTTGGAATTTAAACAAAAACTATTTAAAATATCCGAATAGCTTTGAGTATAATGGTACCCGGGTGCGAATGGCGGCGCTGCATGTCTGGGTCCATTTCGCCTCAGTGCTATTCGGATGTCATGTGTGGTAGTTTATTTTAGTTAAACTGAAGAATTAAGTTTACAAACCTATAGTCCATTCAATTATCTTTCATTTGATACCTCATTTTGTCTTACAAACCCAACAATACAATTTTAAATAGTTTTTTTTAATCCCAACCTCTCACTTCTGGTATCCGGGTACGAATAGCCACTTCGTTTTCAATTTGGTGTCACCCCTGAAATGATGTCAGCCGGTGCGGTCCGCATCCCCTAGCTACGCCACTGCTTCTAGTCAAAGGAATAAAACAATTTGAATATTTTCTATCATTATTCCTTTAAGCCCTCTTCCATCACCACACCCATAACAATCTCCAAACTCACACCTTCACCCAATCTCCTCTCCCCTCTCGCTCCTTGAGACCAATAATGCACGTTCACTCTGCACTCCTCTCTCAAGCACCCTCTCCCCTGACCCACCAATCTTTATCCTTCCCCCACCTCTCTCACTTTAGGTTACTCCATACCCCAACCCTCATCTTTTATCGCAAAATCATAGAAGTTGTTCCTGTAAATTTTTTGTCATTTCTTTCCTCCGTTGACTAAGTTCCGCATACGTTTCTACAAAAGGATTGATGGATCTTAACCAAACTTGGAACATATATCCATCATTATCCACCGCGATCCAATCGGGATACCATCAGGAAACGGATCCCAATGACGTGTGATCTCTTGGAAAAAAGGTATCTCATCGGGCAACAGGATGACACCGGGGAGTGGGATCCCATCGGGGAATGAAATGGTGTAAAAAGTTATTATAAATGAGACAATTTTAAAAGTTTTTGTTTTTACTTAAGCAATGTTTTTTTTTTTTTTTTTTTTTTACAGGGCCCTTAATTTCGATTTTTAAAGCTAAACTTACACACAACTACATAGGCTATTGAAGTTGTTTTTTCACAGAATGAGAATGCAATCCCGGGCAACGCCGGGCCTGTATCTATGACTATGACTATGAGTACTATGAGTATTGGCTAGTTCTAGTTATAATTAAAATTGAATATAGCATATATTATATCTCCTCGATGCTTCTTACTTAGAGGTTCTTGCGACTTTTTGTGGGGTTTAGCATGGAACTCGAAATGAATTGTCCAGGTCTGCTTTACGGTATCACTTAAATAGTTGCATATATAATGTTTTACAGTACAGTTGGAACGCTACTTCAACCTGCTACTACCACCCCCTCTTTTGAACATGGCTGCCTGCGGGACGGTCGCAATTTAATACCGGTTTAAGTTAAGTGGAAAGAACATTTTTAAAAAGAGCAACAGAATTTTTAACACGCATTGAAAACGGATTATTTAAATCGAAGTTGGTATGTTGTGTTATTAGCATATTCATTTTCTAATATACATTTTTTGGCGTCTGATCTAACTTAAGTTGTTTATTATATTATAAAAGTTTAGCAGTACACTAGATTTAGAGACTAGACAGTCCGACACTACTACTACTCTACTTAGTGTACACTGTAATAATAACTGCAAGTATGATAATGATTGTATGAATAGGAATGAACTGATTCCACCGAATGAATAATATAATTATTATATCTATATTATTAATAATATTAATAGTAATTACATTATTATAGCCTAATTATTTAATATTTTGTCATGCTTATGGCTCATTTATAATTTATATTATACTCATTGTAACCTATTAAATTTAAATCCTTAACCAACCAGTCTTTCTTAAGTCTTAACTCTTAACTTAAGCCTAAGATTTAAGTTTAAAAAGTAGTAAATTAGTTAAGTAATTAGGCCCTAAGTCCTAGATTTAAACAAAGTAACATTTGCATAGCCTTAGTCCTAAGTCCTAAGTCTTAATAAAATAACTCTCAGCCTTACCTAGGTCCTAGGCTAGGCCAACCTAAAAAAAAAGCCCAATTGAGATAAGGAGTGGTTATTCACCATTTATCGGTAGTAAACCATTTATGGGTAATAAACCATTTATCGGTTGGGAATAACGCTGAATGTTATACACTTATACACAGTTGCTGAACGCTATACACAGCTGGCTGGGAACTTGAGCATTATTTCAAACCGACTGTATAATAATAATAGTGTCATCTTATTAACGTATCCAGAAATTTGATCGAAAGAAAATTTGGTAAAATCTTTTTTTCAGTTTTTTTGTTAAAATTTTGCTTCAAAAAGAAATTTGATGAAATTTTTAACTTGCGAACTGAAAAAAAGATTCTATCAAATTTCTGTTCGTTCAAATTACCGTCGATCAATTTACAGTTGACAAAATTTCTTTCTATCAAATTTCCGGTAACCTCATATTAAAGTATTAAAGTCTGTTATAATTAAAACAAATTATAAATTCAATAATTCAGTGCAGCCCATAATTCCTCTACATTCTTTTTTTGCTAGCAGTAGTAAACCATTTATCGGCTGGGAATAATGTTGAGCATTATACACAGTCGGCTGGGAATGCCTCCCATTGTTATATACTTGTGAAAGAAAAAGAAAGTGGGAGGTTGGCGGGTGGGGGTCCGACTAGTCTGAAAGTTATGTCACTTATGATGGAATTCACCTATAGAGAAACTAAGCTAAGTGAAATCATATGATGCATTCATTATTTAATGCAAGGATCATCCTATTATTTTTTTTTCTGTCAGATAAATATCTGAGGAAAACTTACTGAATCAAGGCAGGCTTTAAACAAGCAATCATCTCGCAGACAGCCATGTCCAGTGTATTGGTTGTGTTTCGTCTTACCAGATTGGTGTCTGTGTCTGCACCTCTGGCTCAAACTCTTAGTGTGAGTATTTATGAAGTCATTCATTTTTTATGGGTATTTCAAACTGTTTGTCCAGTTTCATCACAAAATAAACAGTAATGTTAGTAAGTAGTGAAACGGACTATTAGTAGAGTACCTCAAAATAGTTCAGAGGTTATACAAATTTTTAAACTTAGGGCAGGGGGCCATCTATAAATGATATGCTTCTCTTCTTCTTCTTCTATATCTTAAGGGCCCACGATCAATTTATTGATCATTTTGGCTCCTATGCATGTAGATGGGATTTGCCATGTTTCTGTTACTGGTGGTGATGAGGAAATTATGCACTAGGGGTTTGAAGGCTTGAGGCAATAGACACAAATGTGTCTAGTGTTGTCGCCTCAACTGTTCCTTTTGAAAGATGGTTCCAGTCCCTGATTGTCTTGGGCAGGAATGAGCAGCTCCTATACTGGCTTCTTGCTGGTATGAGCCTGAATTGCCTGTCATGGCCTCGTCGCTGTCTATGGGGGAGAGGGACGAGTTTCTGTTTAATACTGGAACAGTGGACCAGCCCATTATTTATCTTGTAAATCATGGAGAGCCTGGATTGTCGTCGTCGTTTCTCCAATGGTGACCAGCCTAGTGTTTCTAGCATGCTGCCAACACTAGAGGTATTCCTGTAGCGGTTTAGGACAAGTTGGGGGAGGGTCACAAATTTGTGATGATGTAATGCGAGGGAGTCTAAAATTGTGTAATGGGAGGGGAGGGTAGTTGAAATCTACAAAACTAGCAAAACTAGTGGAGCAAGATATGTTTGGAACTGAAAATAAAAGACAAGACATTAAGCTGACCATTCAGCTAGGTGCCTTCTTCAGCAGACACTACAATTGAACGAGAAGCCAAAATAGTGTAGCATCCATTATGATTTGCGTCTAATTGATCTTCATTTACATAGATAAGTTTGTTCAATTGTTCCACCTCAGCTGAACCTTTCAGTTTTCAGATATTTTTTTGCGTTTGCCTCACATTTTATACACAAATACAGTAAAAAAAAATATTTTTTTTATGGTATGAATTTTGTTCTAGATTTTATAATTTTGTTAAAGGACAAATTTAAACTAAAGAGTACCCATGCACTACTTATTAAGTAATTATATTTTTAACTTCCTTTCCTCTTAGCATAACATTTCCTGCCAGTTCCATCCATGTCCTGCCAAACATTTCTCAACCTCACCTTCATCACGAATGTCTTCCTCACCTAAACCTCTTGACCCAGGGGTATTTTATGAAGCAGTAAAGACTTCAGGGGTTAATTTTTTCTGTGGAGTGCCTGATTCATTGCTTAAAGGTATTGTATGCTAATTTCAATTGTATACATACTTAGATTTTTAAACTTTTAATAAGCACATTGACAAATTTTGAAGCACTCAATTTCAGAATAAGTTTAAACATGTTTAAGCTGCAAAGTTTCTTTAAGAAAATAACATGCACAACTCTTTTTCATTCCCAAACTTTATCGCAGCTTTCCTAAATTAATTTTGATTCTAGATGAAAATTGCTGTTTTGATAAATTTGTGAAGCCCATTGAAAATGGGGCTCTGTTTAAAAGTAGAATTATTTTAAATCTCATTATTTTTCATTTTGTAATATTTAACACACCTTAGAAAGACTTGGGGGGAAAAAAACTGTTAAAGCCATCTAAATTGACATATTATTGAAAATATGTTGTTAAAAGCCCTGAAGTTAATTAACTATTGATTGTTAAGGATCAATAATTCCCAATCAAAACAGCTTATGTTAAAACACACAAACTGTGTTGTGCAATGTGTGATTAATTAAGGTTTCCCACATTTAGAAAGTAGTTTCTTCGTTTATCTTATAAAGCAACCCCATGCAGCTATTCTCTGCTGCAAGAGAATTAACCAGAGTTTTTGTTCAAAACAAACGACTTTAAATCTTTTGACATTATTTGTATTAATTAACTTGGATCTGTAATTATAATATTCAAAGCAACAAAATGCTGGCTTTTATTTTAACAAATAACCAAGGACAAGAATATAATATTGTAAGAAACAATTCTAAGATGAATTGAAAAATAGAAATATTCATTTCTGTTTCACTGGAGACCAGTGGCTCCCCAAGTGGGTGGTAGGGTGTGCTGTGCGAGCGCATCCGGAAATCGCTCAAAACCAATGTTTACTAAGGAATTTTTGTTTGAATGGAAGTAAGTTGGAGCTGAAATTTGTTCAAAGAAATATTTTTTCAAAAGGAAATAATGTGGGAAAAGACAAATGTAAATTTTATTTTGAAATGTAATTTTCCCCGTTTCATCTTCCCTTAAAAATTCTAAAAACAAAAAATCTTGGTTGAACAAATTTCATTTCAAACTCACTCCTGCTGAACTAACTTCAAACAACAATTAATTTTAAAATAAAAAAAATTGATTTCATATTAGTTTCAGGTACCAGCTTTGTTAACATGAAAAGAAGAAGCAGAATGTTTTGTAAAAAGTGAAAAAAAAGATACAAAGATTTTTCTTTCCACTGTACAGCAGTGGTTCCCAAAGTGGGTGGTAGGGTGTGGTTTGTAAACATTAAGAGGAGAGCAGTAATGATTTTAGCTTCATCTAAGGCAGTGGTTCTCAACCACTCGGGGTTTGCCTTTCAGTGTCAGCGATCACTTGATAACTGAAATAGTAAGATTTATATTTTATGTGAGATAATCATCTATTTAGTTTTCCTTTTGTATAAATAAAATAGATACCATATATGGACATACGGTATTGAACGTAATTAAAATATATTAATATTTAACTTTTTTCTGATTATGTGTGGTGTAACAAAAGTTTGAGATTGAAAATAATCTTTATTTCTTATCATGAGATCTGATTTTCTACCCATTATTGAACCATTATAGTTTTAAACATGGAGTTGAAAACAAAAGATTGTTTTACTCATGTATATGCAAATATCTCAAAGTAAATTTGCTCTCTGTAGCCAATCAATAAACTTTTGACATCTGCCAATAACTGACAATCTTCTGTATTTTATAGCTGCATGAGTCTCTGTTTATTTATTGCTGGATGTTCTTAAATAATGGTTTCTTCAACTCTTTATCTCATATTTCAAAACCTCTTGACAAACAGTAACCTAGACAGATGTTGTATCTTTGCTTTCCTAAAATTGATTTGTTGTCCTAAATTTCCTATTTGAGGATTAACATTTCAAAGAAGAGATAAGTTTCAGATTTTTCGATGTTGTCTGTTTACAGAAATAAGTATCATGGGTTCTGTAAGTAGTTTTAGCTGAATAATACCAAGAAAACCCATGAGAAGTTCACTAAAGGCGCCCTCAGGGGCGTACACATTTCGCTGTAATAAAGGAGTTGACCCAAGTTTAGAGCTGTCTTAAGCCACTGATTTATGTTCCCTCTTGCATGGTGTCTTAAGGCTGAATTCTTTGGAAACACATTTTTTATCTATCACCAACTGGCTTGTCATAAGGCTGAAGGCTTTGAGAGACTTATATGTTATCTATCACCAACTGACTTTTTGCCTATAATTATATTTCATTATTTCAGATTTTTGTGCATATGTTACTAGTAATGCTTCTGAAAAAGATCATGTGATTGTAGCGAATGAAGGTGCTGCTGTTGCATTGGCCAGTGGCTACCATTTAGCCACAGGGAAAACTGCTATGGTCTATTTGCAGGTATTCATTTTAATAATACTTTAGAGAAATATAATAAAATTTCCCAAAACAAACTAATAAACACAAACTTATGAAGTTATCTTACTACTTTATATTGTTTGGGAGACATTTTTGTGTGTGTTTATTAAAGTCTATGAAATAAGCCCATTACCTGCCAGTATAATTCTAATAAACTTGTAAACGTCTTTTAAGTAATCATCTTGACTTGCCTGTCAGAACTCAGGTCTTGGGAACATGGTAAATCCCCTGATGTCTCTTGCCAATCCAGCAGTCTACAGTATTCCTATATTGCTGCTTGTTGGCTGGAGAGGAGAGCCAGGAATCAAAGATGAGCCTCAGCATAGGGCACAGGGAGGAATAACTAAAAACTTGCTAGGTAGGTTGTTTTTTTCTCCCGTCAATATCTGTTTTACTCAATGCAAGCAGCTAAAAATTAGCGGGAAGAAAAAAGTTTTAAAAATGTAGACTGGGAATTTAGCATAAAACTGTCAGTGCTGTTTCTCATTTTGTTGAGTTTTATGTAATTTTTGTATCATTACGTTCATGGAGGAAGGCATTCAGCCTAATCATTCATTTATTATTGAGCTACAACATACCTTGTCATTAATATTTCTTTCAAGATTTACTAGCAAAAAAGTTTCTTTTTCTAGAGTAGAAAAAAAAAAAAATTCATAATTGTTACCATAACTTATTTCATGGGTGACAACTCACAATAAACACTTCATCTCTGCTTTTCAGCTTAAATCAACATTTCTTTCAGGGAATGTAATAGTCAGGGCTTTAATTTAGGAATCAATTAATGTGTTTATCCCTGTCAATAAAATTTCATTGACAGGGATAGTTATTCCTCTTTTTTGAAAGTAACTCAACCCTTCAACACCTCCTGAAAGAAGTTCTTGTATCATTACAAAACAATTCACACTGTGTTATTTTACTACAGAATGTATGGACATACCTTGTGCTGTCCTCCCGAAGGATCAAGATGAAATGAAGGCTGTAAGTTTTATTATGTGCTACATTTTCCGTCCCTTAAAAATAACTTTACAACATACACCATTTATATACCATTTATATTAAATACCAGTGTTTATTTTGAAATCTGCTTTCTTTTGAACAGGTAGTTTTAAAAAGTGACAGAGTTGTTAAAAACATAATTTGAAGAAGTTTACATTGTTCAAATGGACTTGTTTCTTTTGCAGCTGTTGAAGAGAGCTCATGATCACTTTGAGGAGAAGAGATCACCATTTGCCCTGTTGGTCAAGAGTAAAACATTCTCAGCCTGCAAGCTGAAGACTTCAAATGATAACAAGTAAGTTGATTGCCTCTGGCTGTAGTATTAGTCAACTTGTGTACTTGTCCGCAAATTAAAGCTCACCCAGAGATCCCTCAACTGTAACACCAATGGCCGAGATAGTTGGCTACCTTGTAAACTTTCTTAAAAGCATTGCATGATTGATGCTTAAAGTATACAGGAGAACCCGGTTATGTCGACCACCTCGGGGTTTGCCAAAAAGCTTCGAGATAACCGATGATCGAGATAACCGAAAACCAATATGGCGGCAATGTATTAACATGTGCTTGAAATTTCTTTATGTAATTGATGGGCATTAATAAATGCAGGTACTTAGTAAAGAAGAAAAATATTTCTTTTTTAAATAGTACAGTTATTTAAGATAAGATAAGATTCTTTTATTGATCCAAACAAATGGAAATGATTTTTAATTGCATTGTACATTTTCACCACATAAATAAAACAATTTTAACATTATTTATTAAGCGACTTAAAAGAATCGACACAACCAAGGAGAAAATGCTAAGACAAAGAGAGAATTTGGCGGTTCCACTTCAAAAACATCACCATAACAGGGTTGGCGAGTTAACCGAGGTCGAGATAGTCGGGCTCGACTGCACTTCTATTTTGTTATATTAACAAACACGAACAGTATCTTAATTATATTCCTCCCCTCAACTCCCTTGGGTAAAGGGTATAAGCAGAGGCACAAATCTTCTACCACTTACGGCAGAAGACAACAGCCAACTTGAGGGTGATGGGAATCGACTGTCTTAGCTCTTTTGACAAGGAAAAACCCACACAATTATTTTTATTACACTTTGAATAATCACTTACAATTTCTGTTACTTTTTCCTACCATCATGATTGTAATTGTTTTTGTTTCTCAAAATTCTTGAAAGATATATTTCTTACCAAGACTGAGCATTTAATTTCATCATCAATCCTTTCATTATGATAGTTTTCCACTCACAAGAGAAGAGGCGTTGTTCAAAGTTATCAACTGCCTGGACGAAAATGATGCTGTTGTGGGTACCACTGGAATGCTGTCTCGGGAGCTGTTTGAATACAGGTATATACAGTGGTTTAGGGTTGTCTTTTTTTGCCTTAGAGGTTAGGGGCCATCTATAAATGATGTCATGCATGGGGGGGGCTATGATTTGTGGTGATGTATTGTGGGGGTTTCTAAATATTAAGACAAATGTGGTCAGGGGATCCAAAAATTTCCAAAAATAGTCTGATGACCCCTACTACATACACCTTGATGTTGCTTTATCTATGACAGTAGTTAACAAACTTGGTCTTCTAATAAGTCACTCTTTAAATATCAGCTTTTATTATTTCATGAAATGGGAAGTGCGCCAAGAATTTTTTAATAGTGTATGAATGAAATAAAGCAAAACTAGTTTCAAATTTAAAAAAAACACTAAATCACTGATTCAGCTCTATACATTAAAAAATCTGCTCCATTCATTTTTTTAAAGAAAGTAGAATCATTAAATTGAGATGGTTATTTTTGAAGAATAGTTTCAGTTATTTTGTGCCTATATTGGTATCATGTAATTGGATTGGTTCATTTTAAAAGCACCCTGTTGACATCAACTATGTTCAGGGTACGATTAGGTTGATGCTACTTTCATTCTATGGCACTTCGTGTTTGGACTCACACAAACATCAATATCCACATCATCAATCCACTGTGCTGGAGGTATATTGATGAGCCATCTGCTCCTTGGTATCTGTGGATACACCATCCTGACTCCTCTGTAATCTATCATCCCCTCCAGATGTCCCATCCAGTGCAGTCTTTCAATTCCCACCACTGTTGATGTGTGCTCATATTTACTTCTTGATCAGTGTGTAGTTTCCTTCCATTATAATCTTTCAACGATTTCAACAAACTCCCTACTAACTTTTGGTGGAACTTTACACTTTAGGCTTTTATTACTTTTTGCAGTATTGTTTAAATTTACACACTTGTAAATAAAAATTTATTTTCTTTTAAAAATATATTGCAACACTATCATTTTACTTGAAAAAACTTGCAACTATTGTCACTAATGTCACAGGGTTTCTATGAAAATGGGTCACGCCAGAGACTTCTTGACTGTAGGATCTATGGGACATGCCTCGGCTATAGCTTTAGGAATTGCTCTTCATAAAAAAGATCGTCAGGTAAAATTCAGATATTAATATTTTGTAACAATTCACTAAATAAGGACCGTTTTAGTTTTAAGCACAGTTTTGTAATAAAAAGAAAATTGATTTAACCATGTGGAGGTTCTTCACTAATTTGTTGCTTCTTTTAGAAATTACTGGCAAGACCACAAGACACTTGATATTCATAACTTGCATCTATTGAATTTATTTTTTACTTCTGTACTGTTGTCCATTGAATGCTGAGGATAACTTTTTTTTATCACAGTAGATTTCTGTTCTCTGTTAAAAAATTGTACTAGAATTCACATTTGTGTGACTCCTACAGGTATTCTGCTTGGATGGTGATGGTGCTGTACTCATGCACATGGGTACACTGGCCACCATCGGCCAGCAGGGTCCACCTAACTTGAAACATATTGTTTTCAACAATGGTGCCCACGACTCTGTTGGGGGGCAGCCGACGGAAGCTGCAAATCATGATGACTTTGACTTGTGTGCCATTGCCAAGGGATGTGGTTACAAAGAGGTGAGAGTTGTAGACTTGACTCACCTCCAAACTTAGCTCAGAAGCCAGTCATTGGGAATAATGTTTGTGTAAATGGATTTGTAAATTAATAATATTCATCTATATGTGGTGAAAATAATTTATTTACTAAAAAATATTTTTTCAGTTTTAAAAAAAAAACCAACAGATTATGATTTGATTTCATTGTACTAAATTCCTAAATTACAGAATTTTAAAATTTATTTGCATTCATTTCATCCCACGGCAGGTGTTTGTTGCCAAAACAGAGCAGGAAATTGAAGAGAAAGTCCAATACCTTCACAAAGCAAAGGGTCCCATACTATTGGAGTTAAAGGTCAAACTGGGCTCGAGGTCTGACCTAGGAAGACCAACCAGAACAACTCATGAAAACAAAGAGGATTTCATGGATTTCTTACGGGTTTAAGTACTTACGTTACTTTGCTTTCAGCATGACAGTTTTATAAGATGTTGCCTGTGCATCAGTGTTTTGTTTCAAGAGTGGTTCTCTCAACTGTTTGCCTTAATGGGATTTTTTTTATTACTATTATTTGGTTCGTATGATATTGGGGTATCATCTTTGTATGGTTGTTCATTTAAATGATATATTACATATCTGTCTAAAAAAAACTTAATTTATAACTAATGGCTGTGTTTAATTTATATTTATACTTAAAATTAATGCAGAAAAGCTATTTAATTGATAAGAAAACATATGCTATATTATGTAAAAATACTTTATTGATAAAAAATTTGGTACTTGAAGGAATTTTGTTCAAATAATTTTTATGGGGATTTTCTGTTTACAAAGAATGTAAGATATATTTAATGTTTCCCCATACATCAAATGACATTTTATTGTAGTGCAAAAATTTTGACAAATAGTATTAGCTTGTACATGACGAAGTTTCATTTATGCTTATATGTGGGTTTGTGCATTGATTTTACTTTTTATGTTTGACATACATTCAACTGGGTCTGTCGTAAAAGCCATACAGTCATATGATTTTTTTTTTATTTTGAGAGTCGTAGTTGTGAAAGATCAGTGGCCACATCATGGCTTTTTTTTTTTTTTTGCTTGAGTTTCTAAAAATTATAATTGTTAAATTATGCCTCATATTCTTAATTTTATTATTTATATTTTAAAGAATATAAGTGCAAAAACTTTGTGGTATTTTTATTTTTTTTTTTTTTTTTTTTTTTTTTGCTTGAGTTTCTAAAAATTATAATTGTTAAATTATGCCTCATATGCTTAATTTTATCATTTATATTTTAAAGAATATAAGTGCAAAAACTTTGTGTGATTTTTATAAAGATTTAAATTTAGGATACCAAATCCTAAATTTTAGTGAAATTCCAGTAGTAAGCTTTTGTTTGACTATTAATACCGGGTTACTTTGGAGTCAGTAAGTTTTTATTTAGAGTATTTTAAGCCTGTTAGTATAATCATTTTTCTTAATCTGAACTATTCCCACAGCACATTGAGTGAGCCCTAACGTTATGTTACAGAAAGAAATGCAATTTTTTGCATTGTTAAAGCTTGGTTTGTCAACAATTTTATTATCATTATTATTAGTGGTTTTTATATCGTGCGGTACCCCAGCCTAGGGCTGGGCTCACCATGCGGTACATTCAATTTAACAAATGTAATCATGAGCTTAAAAATTAACATCCATTAATTAAGTAAAAACAATCCATTGCAAAGTGACCTTGCCCTTGATTGCTGTGCAAAATAAGATTTTTTTTTGTTTACATCAGTACTTAATTCACAAAAAGTTATTTAACTTTCTTGTGTTTTACCCATGAAGTAAGATTACAGTGAAGTAAAAATGGAGTAGTAAAATTACTTAATTTTATACAGTAGTTTAAAAGAGACATATTTTAAAATTTTGTTTTCATGTTTCTTTAAATTAGATCTGGTTCTGCTTTTTTAGTTTGTGTGCCATATTTATAATATTAATGTTGCATATGTATTTTTTTCATTCTGTTTTCAGAATTTAAATGTACTTTATTTTCAAGCTCTTTTTATTTTTAAAAAAAAAAAGAATAACAGAGACTAGGAAACATTTAACTGAATACTGTGCTGTCTTGCATTCTCAAAAGTTTCTCTTAAGCATTTGAATGTGATAATAGTATATGAGGTAGCATCTTTGCAGCATCTGTTGAGAGTGAAAACAGTTTCACCCATTTTACACATTTGTTGTTCTATGCATGCGTACATATACAGTATTTAAGACACACAAGCATTCAAAGCACAACTTTCAAAACTTATCATTTCTGAAATGTCAATTGCCATGGAGTGTGTTCAAATATTGGTAAAACAGAGTAGCTTGCTCATGGTAAACATTATTTTTCTTTAGTACCTCATGACAGTTATTAGTCTACATTGTTCTATGCCAGTTTTTTCAGTCTGTTTTGCTCTATGCCATTCTATTCTGCTCTATGCCAGTTCTGTCTACAGTCTCCAAAGCTGCTTTTTTTAAAATTTGGAACACAAAAAAAAACTGATTGAGGATGTACCCTTTTTACAGGAAATATAGCACTTTCAAATAAGACCCTAGAAGAACACATTTCCCTTGGACCAGCTACTCTCTTAGACCAATATTAGGTCATGTTCCCCTGTATCAGTAACAGAAATGGAACAATAACAATTTTTACTTTACACACATTGTCATTCTCAAATCATGTTTGTTTTATCACTTAGTTATTAAACCGGGGGTTGTCAGACCTATCTTTAAAATACCCAGTATTAAAGTTTGCATCGAAATCCACTTATAGATCATTCAATGAATGAAACTTACATGAACGAAGCACGTTGTTCTCTTGTACTGAAAAGTAAAGGTGTTTCCAACATCATCATACTCCCCCCCCCATCATGATCAAGTAACATTCCACTTATGATTCTCCTGGTCATTAAAAATTGCTTTTTGTATTTAAACATTTTATTATGCTGTGTTAATTAATTTCAAAAGATATGGCTCAAATTCTTATCTTGACTTAGTGTTGTTGCCCGATTTATCCCCGATTATTTTTACATAAACTTAAGCATAACAAAATGGCTGAGCATAATTTCAAGTTTCTCTTATAATCTTATTTTGAGAGAATATGGCAATACTTTTTTTATATTTCTTAATTTTGTTAAAAACTCTACATGCAATTATGGTAATCTTGATCGGTTTAAAAAAATAATTTGGGCTCTCTACAGGGACTATTTTGATTTTAAAAAATAAAAATAATTCCTTTGTATTTTATTTGCCAATTTCTATGTGTTAATTGTTTTATCAAGTTGTACAAATATTTTTTTAGAAATTGAGGAGCATGCTTAACAAATAGTATGACTTAGTAAACTAAATTTTACTTCTAAATAAGCAAGTATTTTAAGCATCAATTCACTCTTTGCTCCCATTTTAAATTGCAAAGGTTATACGTAAATTCTTCCGCAGGCCTGGTTACACTGGAACTCCCAAAATAGAAAAATAGTCTCAGAATAGTGCTTTACCATTTCAAAATCGTACAAATGCCATGATGTATTAGTAAATTAACAGACAATATAATGTATACAATGACATCGCATGTCTAATAAAGGTCACTGTAAAAGTAGATGACTGACGTTTATGTATGTACTACCAAATATACCAAGTGTTTCCCAGGATTGCATTTGGAAAAAACAATTTCTAAAGCCTTTTAGATAACATCTAAAGTAACAGTACTCTACAAAAAACATGTCACTAAAGAAAAATACAAAATTTAAATTTTCACCTTCAAAATGCACATTTAAAACAACTTTTGTAAACATTACGTTCCCCGATGGGATCCCGTTCTCTTGTGTGTTCCCGTTTGATAAACTTCCAAAATTATCTTTATTTCTTATTCCATAACATTCGATGAAAATCATTGAAAGTTATGGAAACATAAACATAAAAAGGACATTTATACAATCTTAAAGCATTTTAAATTTTAGAAAAAATTAAAGCTGTAGAATTAGCTAAATATCTTCAAGAAACTTATAAAAAGATAACTAAGCAACAATGTGAAAATCCCCTTCGGTTTTGAATATGAATAAAGTGTAAGAGTACGAGTTTGGTCAAGATCCAAAAGCTATGTTTGAAATTTTATTTATTAGCTCAAATAAGAAAAAACCCAATTTAGTACCATTTGATAGATGAAGATGTGATGAGGGAGTGCACCAAGCATAAGTGGGGTTTGAGGAGGAGGCTGAGCCCCCTTCCTAGAATTTTTAAATTCATAATGCATGTAAAATTGTTTTATAATTTATTGCTTATTTCTATCTATATTTTTATGTCTATCAAAAAAAGGGGCAGGTCACTGAAATTGCCCGTACTTTCCCAAAAAATGATCAAGCATTAATGCCAAAAATGAAAATCGCCAACAGAATGCAGAAATAAGTTCCTTTGTGATACATCCAGAGGCCACACCCCTGCATTGAGCCTAGGAGGAGCCTGATTTTAACTTATGTTAACATATTATAGTTAATAACCACAGCAAGCTGTAATGGGAGCCAGGAAGAGAAGTAATGGGAGCCAGGAAGAGAAGTAATGGAACAAAACTGGGTTATATGAATCATTTAACAGCTTAGTGACTTCTAAAAATAGATTTCAAAATCTGCTCTGCTGCTGTGCAGTTGAGAGTCCATTTGCTTTTATGTATATTTTTTATTCCATCATTTTTTAACAACTTATTTGTAGAATGCCATGTTAGAATTTACATTTAATTAATATATCTGGTCCTGTGCAAATATATCTACACAAATTTCAACAATTTTTGATACCAAAGATGGCATAAATAAGATGCCAGATTTACCCTTTACAACCTGTTATGTTTTAGATCAGTTTTGCCCCTTATCTTTTAAAGTACTTTGGAACAGTAATGTAATGTCTTGATGTGGAAATCTAATCAACATTTAAAATTTTATTGAAATTATGCAAATTTTATGAATCCAATATGACATGTTTTTTAAAATTTCCATTCTTTCTCATTATAATTATATATATATGTAATAAATTTTACAACTAACTCTTCACCTTCTATTCTTGATTTTTATGTTGTTAACATTTGGAAACAAAACAAATTAATTTATCATCATAAATTTAAAAAAAACAATATCACCTGATTTCATAAAATGAATATATTTATTTTTGAATGTCATATAAAACAAAAATATTGAAACATTTGCAATTATAAACTATCAAATTTTTTTTTAAAGATTATGATTTACGGGTAGGACTTTTTTAAATAAAAAAAAACAGTTGTGGAATATTAACTTATGTTTTAACAATGACCACTGTCAGAGTATTATTTTGTGAAGTGTCAGACATGTAGCTGTAAGAAAGTACTTAATTAATTAAAAGTATTCATCAAGCTGCAAAGTCCCTGCATAAATTACAGACATGATTTAAAATTATAAAAACTGAACTGAAAGGAGTGCGCTTGGGTTTGCTCATTTGTTTCTGTTTCTTGCTATGGGAATTAAACATGACACGATAGCAATTTTGACATGTTAGTACTGGTAACTAAAAGCTTGAAAATATCATACATCACATTTATTACATTTTTTTCTCTCCATTTACACAGTTGTAATCTCAAATCAAAGCTGTGCTAGCATATAACACCCTCCATCCTAAATTTTTTTCTTTGTGAACATTTGCTCATATTTGAACATTTGACATGAAAAAAAAGTTTGCTTTTAAAAAAAAAAAAACACTTTCAATGTGTTCACTGTCTCTAATACGTAATTCTGGAATCTAATCCAGACAGAATCATAGAATAAACAAAGACTTATAGCAAGGCAACAAAATAAATTTAAACTTAAATTAATTAATGGCATGAAATTAAGATTCTGCATTGTAATCTGGATTTTTGCGCAAGATGACAAAACCTTCCATAATTGTTGTCAAAGGTATATCTGATCATCGAGTTAAGGATATCATTTAGTATTTTCAGGCAGATAAGTTAAAATAAATGGTCACATAGAAGACTTGCTCGAGTTTATGGCTATCAACCAAATAAGAAATTCCCTTTAAAAATTAACTTCTTTAAAAAAATAAAACTAAATCTAGTTTAGTTATTGAAAAGCTCTTTTGATATGAACACTATTTTTTTACTTTAAGATAGAAAAGTGCAAAAATCCAAGCTGTTTTGGTAAGTTAAACTGAGACCAAAATTTTTTTAATTAATATGATCACTAAATAACCCTCACCACGCCACCTTAAAAAAAACAAAAACTCCTGACATTTTAACCTAAAATACCAGTATTTTATAGCTGACTTATAGGTTTAAGCTTTCGTTTTTTTATGTTTAGACCTTTCTGTTTGCAAATAGAATATATCATAAAAATTATCTATTTTATCCTCAAATAAAGTGACCAATTCTTATTCAAAATCAAGTGAATATTTATGTCACCCAATTACAAGCTGGTGAACAACTCGCTTTGAGTTATTTATATAGTTAAAATAATTATGTTTATAAAGGATACATTCTTCAGTTGCCAGTTCTGCCCTCTCACCATAAGCTAATAACACAGGTGTTGTATGAGTTTGGAACCCTGTGATGGTCTTGGGTTTACCTGCTTGGCCAACAACATCTACAGCCTTACATAGAGTAAACAAGAAAATAAAAATTAGGAACTAACTTTTATATGGTTCCGAATAAAATAAAAATGAAGTAATTTATAGAGATATATACAAAATGCCTAAAATATATTTACTTAAAAGAATACTCTCATTATAATGGAGCTTTTAAAATATTTACCGAGGCTCATACTTTTAAAGCCATGCAATGACACACACAAAAATTAATGTAAATATATATTTTTTAAAGGGGGCTAATAAAAAAAAATTACAAATCTCTGACATAATGAAGTCTGATTCACACTGAAAGGGAAAGTTAACCAATAACAAGATCACTGAAAGGGAAAGTTTATCAATAACAAGATCACTGAAAGGGAAAGTTTACCAATAACAAGATCAGCTCAACTTCCACTGAGAACATTTTGCCATAACAAAATTACAGATAAGTTACCACAGACTGTTTTTAAAGTTTATAGAGCCTTTTGGATATTCCCTGTATGTTTCTTACCTGTCCAACTCTGACTGTTGTGGGGAGTGGACGCAGCTGTTCATCAAATGTGACCAGCATACGAGGCTGCATGGCAGAAACCAAGTTGTACAGCATATAATGAGATTTACCAAGAATAACTGGGAAGAAAAGGAATCGAATATATTAGCACCAGGTTTCAATTTAATAAAGCTTTTACACTTAAAGAAGAACAAGTTAGTTTGTTGTATTTTGCAGCATTCTAAATTTTGCTAACTTTAACAGATGAGAGTTCAACTGATGTATGTAAAAATGCCTCTACTTCATATAGCTCAACAATTATGATGACAAAAATCATTCAATTTTTAAGCAAAATCTAATTTAACCAAATTTTTATGGACTGACTAAAAGAAAAGAATAATTTTAATATAAAATATATCACTGTTTAAATACATAAAGATGACTTACTATTTTTCACATCAAGGCAAGAAACAAGGACTGCTAACAAACCAGCAACAGCAACTGGAGACATGAGCATACGATCACTATGGTAGGGACTCAGTGTAAGGGTACCTTTACCAAGATGGGTTAAGCCTTGCGCCAGGCGCACCATAAACAAATTGTTGGGATCTTTGGCATGGTAGACTGCTAACTGACGAAGCATGGCCGCCAAACGGGCATTGTTGGTTCCTGTTCGAAAAATTTGTTATTGTGTATATCATCAAATTATTAAAAAATTAAGCTGGGGAAATCAGGTTACGATTAAAAAACAATCTTAAGAAAACTAAATAATTTGAATGGAAAAAGTTCCAAAGACTGACCTGCACCAACTATGCCCATGGAAATAATAGCATTATGTGCTACCTCAGGATCACTGTCATGAGAAAACTTGCTCAATGTGTCGAGTATGTTGAGTTTTGGGTTGGACACTGAAATAAGAGCCAGCGCCAAGGGAACAGCTCGTCGAATCGGCAGCTCCCCGTAACGCAGAAGATGGCCCATTGCTCGGAATGACATCTCACAACCCACCTCTTCTCCCATGGCAATGAGACCGATGCCTAATACTGCTACACCTGTTCGGATTAAAAAAGAATAACAAACTTACTTGAGACATCTAACAAAAAACAAACAACAACACAAGTTCCCTTGTAGTCATTATGAAAAAATTGGATTTAAAATGTCTTCTTCTTCTTTTATATATTAGGAGCCCACGATCAATTTATTGATCATTCTGGCTTATATGCATCTAGAGAGAATTTGCAATGTTTCTGTGCCTGGTGTTTATGAGGATATTTCACTGGTTGCAAGGGCTACTTTGTGAGGGTATCATGAACTGGGGGTTGGAAGGCCTAAGGCAATAGACGCAAATGTGTCAAGTTTTGTCGCTTCAAAAGTTCCTTTTGAAAGCTTGTTCCAGTCCCTGATTGTCTTTGGCAGGAATGTGCAGTTCCTATACTGGCTTCTCGCTGGTACGAGTCAGAATTGCCTGTCATGGCCTCGTCACTGTCTATGGGGGAGAGGGACAAGTTTCTGTTTAATGATGGAGCAGTGGACCAGCCCATTATTTATCTTATACGTTATGGAGAGCCTGGATAGTCGTCATCGTTCCTCCAATAGTGACCAGCCTAGTGTTTCCAGCATGCTGCCAACACTAGAGCTGACCTGTTTACTCTTACGATTTTGAGCTGTATACATTATATATACTGTATGTTTATTCTTTTACTATAAAGATAATGTAATGAACGATTTCGTGATGATATTGTAAGATTTTAAGAGTTAAAGGGTAAACAGGTCTGCTAGAGGTATTCTTGTAGTAGTTCAGGACAAAGCATGCTGCCCGTCACTGTACCGCCTCCAACCTGTCGTTACTTTTCTGGGTAAATGAGTCCCAGACTGAAGATGCATAATCTAAAACCGGATGTACGCAGGCTTTATAGGCTCTTTCTTTCACACTGGTGTTGCCGATATTTAGATTACGTCTGGTTGCATGTATTGTTAATATGCTCGTCCCAGCGGACCTCTCTTTGAATGTTAACACCCAGAGACCCCATATCTCTGAAGTTTGTGTAGAAGCAAACTATGATTGACACGGTCAAATGCCTTTGAGAAATGTCCAACATAACTTAAAGTGGTCCTATTTATTAACAAGATACAAAAGCGTCCATTTTTTAATATAATACAAAAGATTCTATATATTAATATAATACAAAAGCTTCTATTTATAAACATACTACAAAAGACCTTGTCTATCTCCACAAACCTTGCTGAACAGACAGGTCTGGGCCAACTGGTTTTTCTTCTTCTTTTTTCTTATCATCCTTATCTTTCTTCTTGTTCTTGTCTTCTTTCTTCTCATTGTTGTCAGCATCTTTTGACTCATCATGTTCAGAACAGACATGAAGCAAATGCTGTATCTTTAGGACATTCCCAGTGCCGGCATAAGCACAAACATCAACCAACATGGTGGCCATGGAGCACAATGGTTCAGCTATTACTTCAAGAGCAACCAGAGTGGCATCACATGCATCTTGTTTACCTGTGTTCAAAAGGAAACATGAAGAATGCTAAAAAGTTCTATAACTCTTATTTTACTACAATTTAATGGTTAGATCAATTAACTAACTTAAATCCCACAGTTCGAGACACTGTGGCCCACTGGACGTCAGTCTTTTTCCTGATGTTGCCAGTATTTTTCCCCTTCTTTCCCAAAGTCTCATGTTCCTTTGATTGAAATTTTATCATGATACCTTCACAACTTGCTGTAACATTTGCATTTTCATGGGTCTAGTGCTTTATGACTCATTTTGTATTATAGTAGCAAAGAAGGTATACAAAAAATCTCAAAAGACAAACCTAAGAATGCTAGGGCAAGACCTAGGGCCAAATAACGAGCATAAGTTTCCTTGAGTTCTGCCTCAGATCTTTCCATCATGGTTTGCAGGATGGTAGAAGTGACTTCTCCATTGCATGTACCAACTGCAATCATTCCACAGGCCAAAGCAGCATTGCCAACAACCTTCAAAGAAAAATATGTATCAACATTTAAAACTGCCACATCATGGTTAAAGTTATTGGAAAGCACAAGTTAAAAATTCTTCTTTTTAAATTGAAAACTGAAGTCTAATTTGTATCATTGCCACTCAAAAAAATTAACAAATTATCTCCAACTCATTTGAGCACGTGCACCCACCTCCATGTTTGCCTTAGAATCCCCCAGCACAGGTAAAATTAGTGCTAGAACATCCTCTCTGTTAGAGCCAGCATATGCCAGACCAAGACTGAAAAATATTTAATTGTAAACAAACTCAACATACTATTAAAAAGGGGGAACACATCCTATTAATTTTGTTTCAGTACAAACTATTAAAACAGTTAAACAGATAGTGTTTATTTTACAACCAGAATTACAAGCCTTTGGAACTGCAGAACTAATTGTATTGACCTTATAAATATTGATACAATAATAAAGCAACATATTTGTGTAAATTAACTCTACTGTAAAAAATACAACCTAAATTGTAGACCTACCCACTGATTGCACCGATCCTCATGGAAGCATTTGTATGCATGACATGATCACACAGCAGGGCAAGTGCTGGATCACACTCGTTACGCACCCCGGAGTTGACAATACCACATGCCAGCAAGGCCCCCGCCTGGTTACAAAATTTAAATAAATAATATAAGTGAGTACCAACTGGCAAAAACTGCCAACAAAGAAATTTAAATATAGATAAAATTCTTAAAAATAACCAAAGCATTGGATAGTACAGCAGTGTTTCAAAAATAGCTCTGTCACATACCTTAATGTAATCCTCTGCTGAATAAAGGAACTTGTCAATCTGAGTTAGACCACCATCGACATCCCACAGCAAGATTAATCCAAGGGATGCGGTCGCACTCAGCATGCCTAAAGACAAGAGTGCAAGCAATGTAATAAATTTAAAACAGAAAAAAATTTGAATTTTTTTTTACTGGCATCAGTCTGTCACAATATGACCATGGTGTCACAAGGCCTGGGATTTATTTTTTAGGACTATAAGCTGGTTCCTAGACAGTAAATTGCCTCACTCCATGCACCTCGACGGCCCAAGGGAACAACATATATGGATGATAGGAATTTTCATTGTACTAATGTATCCGTCTACAGGACTTATTCTCCAGGTTTTGATTTAGAGTTTCCTACTCTTAGATGACTTGCCATTTAAGGTTAACGGTTCAATCCACCCGCGGTGCTGAAGTTCTTTTTTTATTTTGCCTGACTTGGTCTTTGGTGGAGATTGAATTCCAGACCATAAACTTGGCTTTTGAAGTGACTTTTTGAGTTTACACAATTCTACCACCCAGCCACCCAGTTTTAAAAATTATTGCATGAAAAATATCCAAAAATTATAAAGTTTATTTTGATGTAGTGGAAATTCATTTGAACTACTGTTCTATACATGTTTAAATAAAAACCATTTAAAATTTTTAAAAATTAGGACCAATGATGAAACCAAATAATAGTATTGATCAAGAGAATTCATGTCATATATGGGGAGAAGATTTAATTAAACACTGTACCAATCCCAGTCTTACCATGCTCCTTATTTTTATACAACCACTTGTGTCCTTCTTCTGGGGTTATTAATTTATCTGTGCCAAAAGCAGCATTGACGAGACCATTAACAAATGATGCTGCCAAATTCTGACGAGCTGAATCAAGATTACTTGGACCTATTGTGCTTCCTGAAAAATATGTGTACAAAAATGTATGTTTTATTGTTAAATAGAATGTTCTTATTAGAACAATGAGGAAATATATTTTTTTTTCATCCACATTTTATCATCCAAAACAGCCTGTTTTTTTTTTTAAAAAAGATAGTTTCCAGCTTTTAAGTAAATTTGTATAAATATATGTAAATCATGGTAGAGTTAACAAGTCCAGGTTTTTTAAGACGGTTTCTATATCTAGCCAGTTACTTTGTGGTGATTTTATTGGGTTTTGTTAATTAGTGCATCAGCTATAAGTATTTGTATTTTAAAATATTTTTAAAAAATCCATTCATCATAATTGATGGATAGGAAGGAGGCTGAGGATAACTGAAATGACATAAGAAAAATCCTACTGTTTGGTTCTAAATGTGTCTTGTATATGTCTTCTGGTACTTTTGGATCCATGATGTCCAACTGAAATAGAAAAATTGAATTATACATTGTTCTGACATATTTTTGGTCAAAAGTTAACAACTTTAGCTGTGTTCAACCACTCAGTATTTTTTTTTAATAAAAAGGACGTTCAAATTTTCATCCAGTTCTCAAAAGACATTAAAATGAATATTTTGGACATTCACAGTTTCTTATAATTTTAAAGAAACAAAAGATATTTTTTTTTATAATTTTCAGCTAATTTAGTAGAATTTCTGGAATTCAAACAAAAAAAACCCCCAAAAATCTGCACTAAAAAACGAACCTCTTTTAGACTAATAAAATGAATTAAATTAACTTTTAAAAAATCATTTTAATATTAACAAAAAATATATAAACATAGTTCTTCAAACTGTCATTACCTCTCTGGCCAAAGTTAGGAAATGTTGGTTCAATTGACCATTAGCTATGATCTCCCTCAGGTCATCTCTGTCATCCATCATCTCAGAGAGCTCCAGAGATATCTGTTGACGTCCGAGCATGTAAGCTAGCTGCTTCTTCATTAGCCTAGAATAGAATTATTTTTTTAAACTGATGCCTTTACCATGAAGATATTATTTAAGTAACATAAAATCAGATTGAGATAACAGAAAGAGTGTTAACATTCTTACTGATCAGAACATTCAGAAAAGATTTCCTCAATGAGTGACAGGTCATTAAGAGCCATAGCGAATCGGAGAGCTTGAGGAAACTGCTTGAATTTCCTGTACAGATCCACAGCACATTTTAGCAGGACAGTGTTTTCTGGATCTGGGACATAAGGTACACAACTGGAAATAGAGAAAAACAAGTTACGTTTAGAATAACATAACTGGCAAATTTGTGCCCATGCACTTTGGAAAGCAAAAATAATAATGAAGAATACAATACCTTGGAACAACCAATATGAGAATAAAATTTCTTCTCTTATAATTTACTTTTTTTTAAAGGAGAGACTAGGTATGAAACAAACATTTTCTAAGCAAACCTTGTAAGATATAAGCAAACTCTTGAATATGCTGCATCATCCACATATTCTTTCAAAAGATCAAGTCTTTCTATTTCCATGAGCAGATCACAAGCCTCAGCCTCGGCATTGTGAGACATGTGATATGGAACAATTTGCATGGCTAAGGTGACTAGTTTCTCTTTCATGTCTGTGTTCTCTTCAGTAACATCTTGCCATTCTTGAGCCACTTGTCCTGCTAGATGTCTGATAAAAAAAAAAAGACTTATGAATTAATAATATAATATGAATATGTCAAAATTTAAAATATAAAATTACATAAACATTCTTCCTCCTGGAGTAATGACATTTTAAAATATTTGAGATGGAACATAATAGGTTGTGAATCGACACATCCCAAAAATTTAAATTTTAAACTAAGCTACTGACCTGACATATTCATGACCCCAAGAGCCAATTTCTTCTTTAGAGCCTAAGAGACGATACTTGAGACTGTCTCTAGTTTCACTCATGGTCATTCCAAGGACAGAAATGATATCAGCACAAAACCTCTGGAAATATGAAAAAATTGCAATTAAGCTAACACAATATTGTCATAGACAAAAGTACTATGATGTAATTCCTTTCCACTGAGGGTTGGTATGTAAAAAAAATAAATTATATAATGAAAACAATAATTGCAAACTGAATCAGATATTCACTCTTGGGCTATGAACAAATTGAATCAGTCATTCACTCTAAGGCCATGTACAGAAATTCCATTTTTAGACTCCATGAATGTGTCACTTACAATTATACAATACCAGTATTATAAGAATAGTAAGGCAGACCTGTGTCTCTTTATCCTTGATCTTCTCATAGACACCTTTGAGTGTGTCATAGTGCTGTCTCAAGAATTTTAGGGGCTTTGGCACGGATGTCATTGATGTAGTAGAGGCCTTGATGAGAGAACGTAAACTTTCCAGTGCCGCTGGGTAAAGTTTTTGGTTAGGCTCAACAAGCCTCTCTACTAGCATGTTCAACTCATCTTGAAGCTGCCTATCTTCTTCTGACTACAAATAGTAATAAAAAAAGTACATAAAAATGAATTAGTGGGTCTAATGTGAATGATTTTTCTGTCAAATATATTTTGTAAGAAGAACAAGTATTTTATCTTAGTTACTTTAATTCAGATAACACTAAAAATAATTTGGCACATCTTTTTTTCATCAACAGAATATGCATAATATGCAGGTGACTATTCGGCCACCAACACACTGTACAGTATCAAGTTACATACACACTATCTAGCATTAAGTTACCAACATCTTGTCCAGTATCATTAAGTTACCCACGCACTGCCAGGCCTCAAGTTACATATGTCCTTTCCAGCATCAAGTTACCAACACACTTTCCAGTATCAGTGAGTTACTGATGCACTGTGTAATATCCAGCTGAGGATAAGGCTTATGCCACCAGTGTATAAATACACTGTTAATATTTCATGGGTTCTTACATTTATTTACCAAACTTACCAAATTAACACACAATAAAACAGCATTTTGTGACCAACATTTACAAGTGAATATCCATGGTCAGCATTGACACCCATTTAAAAAATAAATAAATGACATGTAATGTCGACTATGGATAGTCACCTGCAATTGTTGCTAACAAAATGCTGTTTTATTTTGTGCTAATTTGGTTGATCAACAATTTTGGCGCCATGAGGTTTGACGAGTTGTGATGATATTTTAATGTATCATTGATATAGTGTGTTGACAGTTGTTATACTATGTGATATTCATTTGGCAGTTGCTGGCAGTCTTAGCATTCAGTGACAAGGTTGTATAATTTGAATTTTTCTGAATCCAGTTGCACTAAATGTTTTTGAATTATTGTAAGACTAGAGGATAGAGTAGCTTGGGTTAAAGTATATGTTGTTCTTGAAATGGCACTTGAGTTCAGTTATTCAGCTTTTGATGTATAAATGTGTGAACAAACTTGACGTTTGAAAACGAAGCATTACAGAAGCATCAGCACAAAGTTTCCACATAAACTTATACATAAAGTTACTTGAATGTCACCAGATGGAATCACTCATAACCAAAGTGACCATGTTCTAATAGGTCGGAGGCATGGATCAGGAGCAGATGCAGACTCTGCCCACCTACTAGTCCTACTTGTAAGGGTTATATATAAGCAGAGAATAAGTATATTACACAATGGCCAAAATTAAAGAGAAAAACTATTAATATATGATTACCAAAACCTAACCAAATACTCTCTAATAGCAAGCGCAAGAGCTTACCAAAATGAATTACAATGAAAAGAACAGAAGAAAAGTAGTAGGATTTCAGCACTCTAACAGTAGAGTTGGGTGGTTTGGTAATGAATGTAGAGAGACTGTATGTAGAAGAAAGGGACAAGGCACGAATACAAACTTTTACAAAGGGAAACCAGAAATAAAAGTCAAATATTAATATTATATTTATATTATATACTATACAAAGCCAGAAGAAAAGCAGTGAAAATGTGGAGGAAGAAAAAAAAATGTGAAAAAGCTAAACTAAATGAAATAGAAAACTTATCAAGAGGGGGTAATATTGGGTATTTGAAGAATGTAGGCTGTAACTGTAACTGTAGGTGTAGGCCTATAATGAAGATAAAATACAAAGACAAAAAGAATGAATACCAAGCCAGACCTCAAATGTTTTTATAGCTTGAAACTGGAAAAACTGAATATTTTCATAACCAACACTCAATAGGTAGATCATACAAAACGAAAATACCCAGAGTGATTTTTTAATGTTAGTTGCAAACTGTGATGTGTAGTCTAGTTAGTGTAGTGTTGCTACTCAACTATATTACACAGCTTAGGCTGGCTTAGCTGGGGTGACATGCAGATTTTGATCAATTTGAAGTGTCCCTTCATCGGTTATGGAAGTTTACTATTTTCTATATAAACAATAAATGTGATTCATGATTTATAAAAAAAATCTTATTGAAAATAAAAGCATACCAGATCCTGTTCAGTTTTTGCTTCTCCTTTCTTCTTTTCAGCTTCTTTGCTATCAGTTTTTTCGTCTTTTTTATTCTCGGTACGCTTAGTATCCGCCATGTTGATTTACATTTGTCTCGTAAGTTCTCGCTATTACTTTTTGAACTCTAAAAACGAAGAGTCCAAACGAACATTCGTCTGCTGAGAGAGGACAATGCAACAATAATACATTTTTTGGGATATAATCTCACAAAATAAATAAAATAAATTCATATTATTTAATGTCCTTCCTTGATACCTAGACTATTTTATGTTCAGTTAAGTTTATGTACCCACCGTTGTGATTCGTGAATAAATTAAGGTTTCATAAACTAAAATTTCAAGGGAAACAACCAATTCCATTAAAATGAAAATTACGCGTTTTCTTGGTTAGTTGCCTTGATTTAGTTGAAATCACACATTATTTTTATTTATTTTAAAATCATTGAAATGATGTAAAACCAGGGCTTTCCGGACTGTGTGTCGCAACACAATGGTGATGTGTGTCGGTGGCGCGAAAATAAGACTCATAGCAACCTTCACGCATGTTTTTAGACTTTCAAAATAACCACTGGAAATTAAGAAAAGTTATTGTCGAAGTTGTGCAAATAAAATTGTAATTAAAATTAAAAGTGGACCTATTTAATCAATATTATTTGCAATATTTGTAAAGAAATAGATTCAAATTTTAAAAAAAAAGCTGATAGTATTAACTGAAATTCGTTTGCACTGACGACGTCGGGTGCTCACTGTATGTTAATAGGCTACGACTTTGGGTTCAGCGATGCTTACATTGTTTTCGGTCAGTAAGCATCATGTATTTTCTGATCTAATATTGATTCTAATATCGTGCACAGAACTGTCATATCTCGTTCTTGCTGAATATTCATCTCAAATAAAATAAACACCGGTATACAGGTCAGCAAGTAAAATAGGACAATTGTATGCGCTAAGTAAATTTTTATCTGAGGCATGTGATCCTTGCTAGGAAAGTAAATGTATTATCTTATAGTAACATCGGAGGGTTGGGGTCGCCAAAATCATCACTAACTTGTAACCGTAAACGTCCAAATGAATATAAAAACGGGGTGGGGGTGGGGGGTGTCAGTAAACTTTCATTGTCCATTGAATTTGAAGAAGAACAATTTACCGCATCTTATAAGTTTAAAATATAACATTCACATTTTTAAAAAAAAAAAAAAATGAAATTGAATCCCATAATTTTTATATTCACTGACTCATTACTCCAACACCGGCGAGCGAATTGAGAACCGCTGCTCTAGTTGACGGCAACGTCCTGCCACGCTACGCGCCCTTGTCGTATGCCGACCATAAACACCGCTGTCTCGTCGGGAGAAGCGAATGACGCTCTCTGCATTGCAATCCAAACACAGGTTTGCCCTCTGACTACTGGCCTCTTGCGTCGTCTGCCTTAGGTTCTGTGACAGCGGCCATCAATGATTGCGTTAACTTAAAGTAAGGCATTTTTACCTTTCCATTTGGAAAATTTTAAAAGTTCTTTTTTGTTTTCTTTTTTTTTAAGTTGGTTGCCTGTGTAGGCTGCTACTACTATGATTTAAAAGGTAGATATCTTTTAACAAATATTCTGAATTCACTTATGTGTTTCAATCTTCGATTTGTCTTATTAAAAATCATTAGATGTTATTTTAATTTAACTTTAGAATGCTTAAAAAAAAAAATTAAATTCAAAATTGAAGATTTCCTTACAGTTTTGTAGATCAATTCAAAACATAACAGAAGCGATTTTTAAAAATCTATTATAAAAAAAAAAAAAAAATTCTCAAAGTGTTTTTTTTTTTCCCCTGTGGATATTGGTGCAGTGGGTTCTTTGGATACGATTGACGACATCCCAACAAGCACACGCAAGAAAGTTTCTGTGATAAATTCAAGGAGTGTGACCTGTGATTTCTGGTTACGCGAAATAGTTTTTTTTTGGACCTGATCACCGATATTTCAGACACACTCGGAACCAGGATATTGAACTAACTGAACGATTTCACCATGGGCACCTGGAAGAACTGGCTGCGTACACCCGCAAGAATTGATCTTGTACTCGTTTAATGGATTGATTGTCTGGGTGAGTAGACCTTTACTTCACTGTAAACATCACGTGATGGGTATGTTTAAGTTCTCCAGCCCCTGACATGTTTTATATCCCTTTCTGGTCCCATTTTTCTTAAGCATCTTTTGTTAAGTTACTTTAAAACATTGCTGGACACGGAATAATATAATGTCTTTATATGCTATTCGCAAGCACTGGCGTAGGAAAGGGGGCTACGAAGGGGGGTCCGCCCATGGTGGCACTCTTTATATTTATATTGAGGGGCGGCATTTTCGGACAACTGTAGAGTTTTTTTTCGTGGGCGGGGGGGGGGGGTGTTTCCGGCAAAAATCGTGGCCCGCCCCTGGTGGCACTTACCCTAGCTACGCCACTGTTGGCAAACCTTATTATTTTAAAACGAGTCTAACCATCATTATATGTGAGCATTCAAGTATTCAAGAACGTACCCTTCTCACACATCCATAGCTACTTGTTTAGAGCAGTGGAATGGATGCCTCTTTTAAGTTTGTTTCAAAAATTACTTTCCGGATACAAATCTAATTCTTTGGACACTTCTTTGTTTTCGATGACAAAAATGTAGCTAGAATAGTTTATAGTTATAAACAAATTCCTATATAATTATTGTCCTACTTTCTAGCCATTTCTATTTTTAAATGACAAGAGAGCCCCTCTCGAGAACGAGTTAACGTTGGCCAGATATGTAATAAGGCATACCTGTAAACCCGCACTGTAATGACATTTGTCTTTAAGATTATATCTCGACATATCGCAGCGTGCCGTCTCGTCTTTGAAGTGATCGAAATTAATCTTTGTGTCTAATACACTCTAACCCTACAATTTCCACCCACCCCCACCCCGGGGCAAATTTCAGAAATACGTGCAGTTGATTCGTAGTTTCAGCCTTGTGAAGAAATTTGATAGTAAATCTCATTCGTTTTAAGACATTATTAGTATTTTTATACACACACACACCACACACACATATACATACCACACACATACACACACACACACACACCACATCACACACACTCACACACATATTACCTTTCCCACAAAAAGAAAATAGTAGATTCAAATATTTTAAAATTGTTCAATGGGTTGTTTAAACAAAATAATTATTGGGGTTTTGTTTATAGGGGGAGATGATTCTGACAGCTAATTAAAAAAAAACAACAAGATAACATATCATAAAACAGAATGCGTTCAATTTATTTTTATCTTCTTATTGTTGTTCACTCATTGCTTTCACTATCAGCTACTATACCGGTACTACAATGTAGTCTACATGCTCTTATTTTTGTACACTCTTTGCTTTAACTTGCAGTTTCAGCTGCTATACCGGTAACACGGGCACTTTATTGTTGCACACTATTTGCTCTCTCTTTCAGCAGCTAAACCGGTACTACATGCTCTTATTGTTGTACAATCCTTGCTTTCCCTTGATGCAGTAATTTAAGCTGCTAAACCGGTACTACATGCTCTTATTGTTGTACAATCCTTGCTTTCCCTTGATGCAGTAATTTCAGCTGCTAAACCGGTACTACATGCTCTTATTGTTGTACAATCCTTGCTTTTCCTTGATGCAGTAATTTCAGCTGCTAAACCGGTACTACATGCTCTTATTGTTGTACAATCCTTGCTTTTCCTTGATGCAGTTATTTCAGCTGCTACGCCGGTACTACATGCTCTTATTGTTGTACAATCCTTGCTTTTCCTTGATGCAGTAATTTCAGCTACTAAACCAGTACTACATGCTCTTATTGTTGTACAATCCTTGCTTTCCCTTGATGCAGTAATTTCAGCTGCTAAACCGGTACTACATGCTCTTATTGTTGTACAATCCTTGCTTTCCCTTGATGCAGTAATTTCAGCTGCTATACCGGTACTACATGCTCTTATTGTTGTACAATCCTTGCTTTCCCTTGATGCAGTAATTTCAGCTGCTAAACCGGTACTACATGCTCTTATTGTTGTACAATCCTTGCTTTTCCTTGATGCAGTTATTTCAGCTGCTACGCCGGTACTACATGCTCTTATTGTTGTACAATCCTTGCTTTCCCTTGATGCAGTAATTTCAGCTGCTAAACCGGTACTACATGCTCTTATTGTTGTACAATCCTTGCTTTTACTTGATGCAGTAATTTCAGCTGCTAAACCGGTACTACATGCTCTTATTGTTGTACAATCCTTGCTTTTCCTTGATGCAGTAATTTCAGCTGCTAAACCGGTACTACATGCTCTTATTGTTGTACAATCCTTGCTTTCCCTTGATGCAGTAATTTCAGCTGCTATGCCGGTACTACATGCTCTTATTGTTGTACAATCCTTGCTTTCCCTTGATGCAGTAATTTCAGCTGCTAAACCGGTACTACATGCTCTTATTGTTGTACAATCCTTGCTTTCCCTTGATGCAGTAATTTCAGCTGCTATGCCGGTACTACATGCTCTTATTGTTGTACAATCCTTGCTTTCCCTTGATGCAGTAATTTCAGCTGCTAAACCGGTACTACATGCTCTTATTGTTGTACAATCCTTGCTTTCCCTTGATGCAGTAATTTCAGCTGCTATGCCGGTACTACATGCTCTTATTCTTGTACAATCTTTGCTTTCCCTTGATGCAGTAATTTAAGCTGCTATACCTGCAATACTACGTGTACATTTGGGCGCTTTACGATAATCACTTTAAAGGTCGGTTGACCTAAAAAATGTGTCTGTTGTTCTGTACAGATGTTTACAGTTCTCATCGATATATCTCGCCATTAATACAGGATTCTTTGTCAGCGCATCAGAAATGTCAGTTTATCCAGAAATCTCTCCGGCTAGGTGAACCCCATTCACTAGACGCCCTTGATATATCCTCTTGTTTTGTACCGATTTCCTTTGTACACAATAGTTGCCAAACACATTCGGGAACGCCTATGCCTATAGGATGCACGCTATTTGCCCTTCAATCAGATACTTTTATTCAATCACAAGCTAATGCAGTGGTGTAGCTAGAGTTTGTAAAGCCTCATGGGGTCGTCTTTGATT